CTGGTGCTGCGGATGCGGTGGTTGTGCCGGTGGATTTGTCGTGTGCTCCGAGTGACGGCAGCCTGAGCTGTCGCGTGTGTGTGGGCGTGGAGGAATTGTTCTGGTGCCAGTGCCGAGGCTCAGTATGAGAATTATACGTTCAGTGGCTTTGATGTGCGCATGCATGGCAGTAATGGTGATCTGGGTGCTGTGTGCCATGTGGTCAATGCGGTGTACACGTGTAGCAGCTGTGCTGCCAGCTGTGCAAGGAAAGAGGAAGGGGCCACCGTTGCCTTCACGATGAATGTGACGACACATAAGTACGCCGGCCCTTATGAATTGTGGTGGCGTCAATTTCCCCCCGATGGAACCATCCATCCGCCTGCACGGAGCAGCGATGCTGACCAGACGGGCATCTCTCAGTTGCCGCCACCCCGTGAAGAGAAGGAAGACACAAAATCTGGTGGGACAACTGCGCCGCAAGTTAATGCTGAGCCGTCACGTCAGAACGAGGATTGGCGACGGTCTGCGGCGGCTGACGGACCCAACACCGTCGATCGGAGTCCCGCATCCAACACGGCGACCAACACGTCCGAGACGAGGCCTGAGTTTGCCACCAATCCGAGCGAAGTGATGGTCCCGAATGCTTCCAAGAAGAGGCCTTCCTTCGCCAACGGTCCGAGAATATTAGTGGCGTCGAATGCATCCGGGATCACGTCTGTCACTTGTGGCGGCAGGGAACACGTTGCCGCGGATAACACGGACGAGGTGAGTGAGCGCAGCGCCACTGGACACAAAACTCCTTTCTTCAGAAAATGGCGCTGCGGGCAGTGGATTTGTTGCTGAGGGTGATGCGGGCGGATTGACTCAACGCCATGCCTCTGGACACGAAAGCAAACCCCTACTACAAAAACTCACCACGCAGTATTCCGGGAGCGGTGTGGGTCTGCACGACTGCTTTGCCCAGCGCTGCGACGCGAAATTGACACTGCGAGAGTTAACTGTTTCCAGCACTGCGCGTGTTTGCGTGTATTGGGCGTTGCTGCTTTTTATTGTATTGTGTGGGATTGTGGCAGTCTTGTGAGCCAAAGAGTGTGGAATTGCGAATTCTCACGGAGAACATGTGCCGCGTTCCCTGCGTGATTTTTTTTAATATTTACATCTTACTGCTGTTTTTTGTTGTTTTCCTGGAATGATAAGTATCCTTGCTGTTCCTTTATTTAATAGTTCTTTCCTGCACACCGTCATGAGTGACGTGATTCCCCTCTTTCTGTTTGCTGTTTTGTTGCCCACACGCGGTGCCGGCCTCATTGCTGTGCGTCCCACGGACTGCACAAAATAATGAGTGGAGGAGCAGGCCGGATGCCGCGTGAAATGTGAGGGATGTTGTGTGGGCTGGTGGAACAATAACGTGGTTTTCTTTTTTCTTTTTATTGCTGCAGGCATTATGAACATACAGAAGCACATGGTCGTTTTGTGCTGCTTGGCACATGAAATAAAAGTCCTGCCGAAAGAATTTTATTTATTTTTTTGGGGAGTCCCGCTGGAATCTAAACCTCGGTTGTTTTTTATATTTCTGTTTTGCGGGGCGTTGTGTGTTTTTGCCCTTTCACTGCTTTCAACTGCCTCATGGTGTGTGTGCGCTGCCGCTGCTGGGCTGCTGCCATTTTTGACTGTGCGGTGGCTGTGATGACACACCGCAGGCTTTACTTTCTGGCTCTGGTGGCGGCACGGTTGTTAGTAATGGTGGTGGGAGAATACTGAGGACGGCTCTGGTGTGTTGGGTTGTGCCACTGAGGCCAAAGGGATGGACATCGTTTAGGGGAGAAGAATCCTAGGCGAAAAAACTCATCCTCTCAGGGTAGAAGTGGGGAGCGGGACAATAATGCGGCAGCGGTAACGGGGGAACTGTCCGAAACACGCATCCCCGAGTCGTCGATGGAAGAACCGTCTTTGCCACCACCGCTGGAGCCGGACTCGGAAATAACGTCTCCTCAAGGGCCGGATGAAGCCGCACCAGCGAAGGGCATAACCCCCGCAGTGCAGCGGATGAAAAGGGCGAGGCCGATTTGGGCGGCACGCGGATCGCATCCCGTGAGGCTCCCGTCACGCAGTCCACATCATCGGGCACTCCAACTGGCCCCACTGCTGCTGCAATGACGCCTGCAAACAGACAGGGTGACGATTCCACTGATACTCCAACAGCACGTAAAAAAGATTTGAAAGCAACCGAGCGCACCGCCAGCAGTGATGCGCTGAATACTCGGGAGAGTGACAGTAGCCCGCAGTTATTCCAGCCGTACAGCCTTACGCCAATACGGGCAGGACGGGGGTCTTTGACGTTGGGAGCAGCTCCGGGAGAGTTGAACCCGCCGCCTCCACAGACGACGAAGAGAATGATACGAAGTCATAACTTCAGAGCGCATCCGACGGCACGGGCACCGCGGCAGACGAAAGTGGGGGGTTCACAACAGTACCAACGACACCACTAATAAAATGAACACAACGTCTGACGACAGTGACGGCAGCACCGCGGTCTTCCACACCACCTCCCCTCTTTTGCCTCTTCTTCTTTTTGTTGCGCGTGTGCTGCTGCTGCTGCGGTGGTGGCTGCGCTTCCCGTGGACCAACAATCCACGTGGTGTGCGGGGATCTATTCTTTTTCATGGCTACTTTGCTGTTGTGTTGCTGTGTGCGCTGCACCTATTCTCGTGTGTGCGCACCCTCCGTGAGGGGTGCCGACACGACGGACCGCTCTCGCCGTATGTGCATGCGGTGGAGCCTTGTGTGCCGCTCCTGTTTGCTTCTCCCTCCTCCATCTGTGTGTTGGTGTTGCGGCAGGGCTGTGTGTGTGTGTGCCTGTTGCCGTGGATTGGAGTGTGTGCTGTGCGTGGTGTGCGGCGTACGGTGCATGCCTGGCTGCTGCCCTCTCCTCATGTGTGTGTTTGCCCTCTGTGTGTGTCTGCCGCACCTCTCGTCTCCCCTGTTGCTCTCCATGTCCCTCACTGTGCAGATCAGCTCCACACCACTGAACGACCACACTCACGATGACGACGTGCCGTCTGCTGTGCGCCCTGTTGGTGCTTGCCCTGTGCTGCTGCCCGTCCGTGGGCGCGACAGCGAGTAGTGGCGATCAAAAAGCGGCCAACGTTTCAACGTCCCCTCAGTCACAGGGAGCAGGTGTTCCAGGACCCGATGGGGCAGGGTCGTTAAGTGGGTCCAGTACTGGACAGACATCACGTGGGAACCTCACATCACAACAATCAGATCCGGCAGCTGGTAAGGGACACGCTCCGTCAGGGATTCCGGGTCCGACCGTCACGGTAGGGTCAAAGGGTCAGGGGGCCGGTACGCCAGCGAGTCTGGGGAACGATGCGGAACAGTCACATGGTATGTCTGGTTTGCGATTGGCAGCAGACCCGGCCAGAACGGTACAGGAACAGGCACAAATTACGGGGGCCGGTGGGTCAGGGTCGCGAATTACGTCCAGTAAAGAACAAACAGGAAGTGGGAGCAAAACGTCACAAGGATTAAGTTCCGGGAACGGTACTGCACAAAATCCGGGTGAAAAAGAGGCGGTAGGGTCAAACAAGCCGGACGGTAAGGAACCGAATTCAGGCACGACGACCGATACCGTACAAGAGACAGGCACGGGATCGGCTACGTCAACGAGTCCCGATTCAACATCTCCGGGGCGTATTACAGAACAGCAACCAAGTGGATCCGCTAACCCAGTCCAACAAATTCAAAAGGCAAATGCGCCAACAACAACAAGCACGACGGCCACTGCGCAAGAGGCATCAACTACCACCACCACTACGACTACAACGACCACTCGCGCACCGTCACTTCTTCGCGAAAGCGACGGCAGCCTCAGCAGCCCTGCGTGGGTGTGTGCCCCGCTGCTGCTCGCCGTATCCGCGCTGGCGTACACCACTCTGGGCTGAAGAATTGTGTGCGGGCTGTGCGTGCCAGCACTCAACCGCGGGGACTTGTGTGCGTCCACTGTGGTCCGATGTGCTAAACCGGATAAAATAATGATTGTGTTTTGCTTCACTTGCCTCCGCTGCCCTGCTGTGTGCTCCTTGCCGCTCCCCGCATCCGTCACGTTGAACGCACCCCAGACAGACTCATGTGCATGGCACGCACACAACTGATTGCGTGGAGTCGCATTTGAGGATGGGTGCGTGCGTGCTGGAGCCATGCTGTGCAGTCCTTTGTTTTGTGTGTTTACATTTTAACTTCATTGCTGTTCGTTTACCTGTGTTTTGTTTCTAATTGTTTTGTGTGTTTTTCTGTTTGCTTGCTGCGGGGCGTTGTGTGTTTTTGCCCTTTCACTGCTTTCAACTGCCTCATGGTGTGTGTGCGCTGCCGCTGCTGGGCTGCTGCCATTTGTGACTGTGCGGTGGCTGTGCGTGGTGTAGCGGCCGTGTCTCTCCTTTTGTTTTCTGTGTTCTTGCAGGCGGCTTCACAGCGTTGGGCGACTCCACTGTTTGTGATGATGACTGGCCGTGTGCTCTGCGTCCTGTTGGCTCCTGCAGTGATGTGCAACAGCTCGTGCGTGTTTTCTATGGCTGCTGCGACGGTGTGTGTGTGCGGCCCGCTGGTGATGGCGCGGTGACTGCTGAGCACGCGCGGGCTGTGATGGCTGCGGAAGGAGGACCGTGGCCGGTGGCTCTGGACGAAAGGGGAACGTGAACTCTGAGGTTGGCAGCAATCAGGAAGACGAGGAGGGTGGAGAAAACACGGCGGGTGAGAGCCCTAATCCCACCCCCGCAGGACCACTCACTGCTCTGACGAGGCAGGATCAATCCTGCAGCGACCCACTGCGAAGTAAAAATTGCAATCCGTCCGGCACTGGCAGCGCCCCTGCCGCTCAGATGCGTGCAAATGGACCGGAGTCTTTGGGCGGAGGGCACGCTGGTGGCGGGAGGACCTCCCAGGGAAGTGAGGCTTCGGAAAAAACCGTCACGGGACAGTCACAGGTGCCAGGGACGGCAAAGGAGACACCGCAAGACGATGAAGGAGGAGAACCCGGAGCGCAACACGAGGCCGACCAAACCACGAAAATGACTGCGATGACTTGTTGCGCAAAGCAGCAGTGGAGCAGGAGGGTCACCAGCGAGATCGCAAGGTGCGCCACGACCCGATGGTGGCGAGAATGCTCATTATTATTTTTTCCCACTCTTACCGGCGCGTCTCGCTATACAATGCCATCCTGGTGCCGAGGAGGCGGTTGAGCAGCGGAAAAAGCTTCCTGCTATGAAGCGACTGCCACTGAGAGAACTTTTTGTTGCGTGGATCTTCCTGAATGCCCCGCCGTTGGCGCGCAGCGGAGGTGCCTGGGCATTCTAGAAGCAGATGGCGAAAGGTTTCCTGCGCGTCAACTGGCGTGCCTGTGGAGGTTGGCTGATCCTGCAGTGGCGGAGACCGCTTCCTGGCACCACAGAACGAGTAGCGGTGAGTGGCTTGGCGAATGGTACGACGCCACTTGTTGCTGGGCTGGGTAGTAAAGCATGTCAGCGGGTCCGTGTGCCATATGGGCGCGATTCCATGTTCCGTGTGTTGTCCGGTTGCCATGGTCTGCGTCGCATGCTGAGCCGCAGGCTCATTAGCATGCACTCCACAATGTCCGTAACAAAACTGCCGGTGCACGGACCGGCCGGCACGCATCAGTGTCAAGAGACGCTGCCAGATCCGGTCCTTGTTGAGGGCCGCTAGGAGAGACTGGCTTTGTGTCGCCACAAGCGGGGTTTTTACTTCTGTGGTGGATCCGAGGGATAATCAGCCACTGCAGGGTCAGGAGCAGCGCACTGGATTCCGTCCTGCAGCTTCAAGGGCGTGTGCCGCAGTTGTTACTTACTTTCTCTATTATCTGCGAGGAATGCAGGGATGAAGGCGGTATGCCAACGCAGGCTGGCGTGGGAACGTCGAAATCGCCATCCGTTGCGAGTATCCACGAGCGGCGGCTGTGCAGCGCTAGAGCCTCTTCGCGGACTCTGCGCTTTTCCCTTATCAGTTCTTTTTCGTCAGTGATTGAGTGGTCTATCGGAAGTTCCACAGCGATGGTGACCCGGTGAGCGGAGGCCGCAGACCAGGGAGGAATGGAGCCACGAAAGAACCGCTCTTCGCGTGGTGAGTCCTCGGTGATGCCGTAGCCCTTTGCGCATGCGTCTACGAAGGCATATGGCTCGTGCCGAGACAACGGCGGGATGCGGAAACCAGCGCGAGGCGAAGGCTCAGACGTTGATCTCCGCATCCAGTCCATCTGACAAGTGCGTTTGTTATCAAACACGGAGAGCCGCACGCAGGCAGAGGACGTGGAGCGGCGGTATATTTGCTTCTAGGAGTGCGGATTACTGGTCGACAGTGCTCGGAACTCCGCTGACAATGCGTGCCAGACCTGCGTACGTCTCTTGCATCTCATTCTTCGCTGAATCCGTCGCTACTGCCCATATGAGCTCGCTGCCGTAGCGCAATTTGGATGCGCCGTATCCGATGATGAACGTGCGTGGGTCATGTGGAGATGGCCCCGCCTCTTTTTGCGCAATGCGGCGTGGCTAAGATATCCGTTGCGAGGCGGCCGCCACATTTACCGTCAGTTGCGGATCGAGATCCATGCCAAGAAGCTTCGCAGTTCGCGATGCCCCCATGGTCATGACTGGGATTTTACATCCAGTCACTTCCAGGGACCACTTTCCTTTGCGATCATAGTTTGACTCCGTGTGCGTGGAGAGTGTGAACCAAGCGGCTTTGCACTTTGACGGGATGATGGCCAGGCCATTTTACTGGCCCCGCGCGTGCAGTTTTTTGAGGACCGTGTTGGCTGCAGGAATGGAGTCTTCCCGAGAGTGGCCGTTGATTACAATGGAGAGGTCGTCCGCGTGCATGTCTGCTGTGACGCCTGAGAAGCCGTTCAGCAGGTTGAGAAGTGGGTGTGCGTAAAGGGAGAAGAAAAATGTGTTCCCAATACGGACCCCTGAGGAGCTCCTCGCAGCGTGGAAGACCGATCGCCGTGTCTGTGGCCAACTCGTGTCTTCGCGTAGCGACCACGCAGAAATTTTCCAAGCCACCTTTGGCAGTTCACCCCCGGAATATTGGCCGGCAAGCGACTGAGGACTCGATGAGCAATGAGCTCAAAGGCCTTGCTGGAGTCTACCAGCACCAACGGAGCCCGATGGGGTCTGCAGTGGAGCTGGCTTCCAACACCGCTCTTCTTGGGAAGGTTCGCTTGGAAGTAATCGGTTCTGTTATGCTCCACTTCGTGTATCAGGTGTGCCAGCTGCATCGTCGTGGTACGCATACTACGATATGCATGCTGGTGGGGACGAGGCGTCTACAGACAAAGCGGTCTCCTCAATGCCATTTTCTCAGCGACCTTACCCACGATGGAGGGAAGGCTGATGGGTCGATATGACTCCGTTAGCGCCGGCGAATTACCGGGTTTCAGGACTGGGACGATGGTGGCTCGTCGCCACTGGACCGGAATCGTACCGGCTGTCCGGCTGTGGTTGATGCGGCGGAGAGGGAATCGGAGACAATTCGTCGAAAGATGTGGTAGCGCCCCGCTGTAGACTTCGTCCGGTCCGGGGCCTTGCCGTACGGTGTGCTGCGCAGCGCTGCACGCGGTTCCGTACGATTAAAAGAGGCATCCAGAGAGAGGGGAGAGAAGGAACCTATCGAAGATGAGGCGGCCGACTCGTTGTTGTTCTGCGGCCTAAGAAGGGGAGGGAGAAGAAATACACAAGGACTTGTTTTCTCCGTTTTTTCCCGTTGGAAAACCCAATCGCCTTGCGAGGTGGGGAGGAATCCAAGATTGAGCGCATCCGCTGCTCTCCTCGCTGTCCTGAAATTATTCTTGCGGCCATCGTACATCAACGCCGTTGTGGGAGACGGAATTGATGTCTTTTTACGTCCGGAATGTATTTTTTAGGCGAGTGGTTTGCCTGGGTTTAACTTGCTGATGCGACGCCGATGTTTGCTGCGCGAGCGCTCACGGAGTAGGAGGAAGAATTGGCTCCTTGCCCGTTGCGTCTCTGTTTCACGGTCGGGCGTCGGTAACTGCAGACAGCGGGCCTTGCTGTCGGTAGCAATCCGCTCTGCCTTCGCAAGGGTGTCGCCCCGGAGCTTGGGATCATCCTTGTGCATGCCGCGGGGTCAATGCCGTCGAAGTGAAACTGCAAGTGCTCTCGTAAAAGCCTTAATGCCGGTTGATTGCTTTTTATGGTCGCATGCTGGAAGTTGTGCGTCGAGGTCGTTGGCGAAGGACTCCCACTTGGACTTCCACCAGCTGTAGAAAACTCGACGTACCGAAGTGGGTGCCGAGGGCATGGTATCCTTAAATGCCTGATGCAGCGTGAATGTCAACACATAGTGGTCACTGAGCGGCGGCACATTGGCTCTCCAGTCGGACACGGTAAGATGCCTTGACCATGTCCGGTTGATACAGGATCTCTCTCTTGCACCACGAGCATGCTTTGTTTCACCAGGGGTGTTAACAAAGGTGTGTCCTGCATCCGTGCGCGGTTGTATAAAATTCTACAGCGGAGTTGCTTGGAGGGGTCTCCAGGAAGGTCTCCCACCGTGGGCGACGCACGTTGAAATCTCCACACGGAATGAGCGGCGACGAGACCGAGAGGCAGCTCAGCAACCGCCTAGGGGTTGTGTCGGTTGCGGCGGTGGTCTCATATAGGTGCTCGCCACAATAAGATCACGGTTCTGGCCCAGCGCGAATTGGACCACCACCACGTCGAGGCTGGAATCACGTTGAGGAGTGATGAGGGGCATACGCTTGGAGCGGAGGTTTTTCCGCACCAGCACCGCTGCAACACATTCCTTGCGGATACGTGATTGTGCGTGGGGCACACACTCTCCAGTATGCATGCTGGCGATCTGCTCCGCCGACTTCCAGGTCTCCCGGATGGCCATCATGTCTGCTCCTTGCGCCATTAATGTTGCGAGTTTGGCCGGCGTCGGTGAGGGAACGGTCATCCGGAGTGCTGCTATGGGGCTCGGGCTCCGCTCAACGTCCCGCCTCGCAGTAGCTTTTGCCTCTGTGCGTCACATACGGCACGCAGACGACACGTGTAGCGCTGGTAAGCGCCGACGAAATCCGGCAGCAGTGAAACCCGCTCGTCCGTCGCATCGTCTGAATCCCACTTGCTGCGATCCTCACTGCTGTCTGCACGCTTCGTGCTTGCGTGCCCCCTGGTGGCCGGGATATGGTTTGGCCCTTCACGCTGTATGCGCTTGAATTGTCCTTTCGCGACTCTTCGCTTGTCTTGGCCCCTGGCCCCGGCGGTGTATTGAATGCGTTGCTGCGCCATCTTGTACCCGCAGCCCGCTGCTCGCTCAGAACGATGAGTGGCACCTCCCTTGCTGACGGCAGCCTGCGAAGTTCCTGGGAAACGGGGGACACTACTCGCATCCGCAGACACGGGAAGAACGCATGCCGCACGGAGAATTGTCGGCCCCTCCCGCTGCTCTCTGTCCTGCTAGGGGTGAGCAAGGGACTGGTCCACCGCCGCCTGTCAGCGCTGCTGGCACGCCACCGACGTCAGCCTCGATTAACGCCACGACGCACGGTCTCCGACGTGGTGACGCCTGTCCGTGACAAAACGGCACGAGGGCTGAGCGAGCGCATCGCCGTGGAGTGTGGGCGTTGCAGGGGCGGCGTCCCGCGCTGCACCCTCACCGTCGCCGCTCTCTCGCAGTCGCGACCGGCATCTCGACTGCGTTCGACAACGTTGGCGCTGGGCGAGTGCTGGCTGTGGTCTGCGGGCTCCCGTGCCTGTGCTGTCGAGCCCAACACTGGTTGCGCAGCCGCGTTGGGGTGAGTGATCGCGTTGGGGTGAGTGATCGCGAACAATATTTCCGACAGTAGCTCGCCTCAGCCGGAGCAGCCCACTGCAGCACGCGGATAACACTGGTCCGAGGAACACTTGTTTAGACGGGTGTGAGCTGCTGCCGTGCGTGGTGCATGGACTATTTGATTGCGTGAGGAGGTGCATGGAGTGACGAATACTTCTGTTTGGCGTGTCGCGGTGTGTTGGAATGATGTTCGGAAAACATGTGAGGGGTGTTGTGTGTAGTTTGTGTGTCTTCTCTGGTGGAGCCGACATGTGTGCGGGGATTGTGGCATTGCTGGCTGACAGTTCCACGTCACTCTTCGGCATTCCTGGATGTGCTGAGGAATGACGGCTGGCGACCAGCGTGTTGGTGCTGCTGGTGGGAATAAGTACACGAGGAACTGGCCATTTTCTCTTTCCCATGATGGAGCCGATGAACTGGCACGAGGGCAGCGGCTGCAGGCTGCCTGCCAGCACGTGTGAGCAGCGGATCCATGCACACACAGACGCTCATCGCAAGAGCCTGTGCGATCACAGTGGCTTTTGTGGTGTGCTTTTGTGGCCGTCAGCCCGTCGGAGAATGTGTGAAGCAAACGGCTGACTGCACGCAAGGAGAATAAGTGCGTGCACTGTGCCGTGTTTCGGCGTCGATGGCAGAGCGGCAGGAGGCCCGTGCTGGCAACTGAGATCTTTGCGTGGCGAGGGATGTCGGTGTTGATTTTGGATCGTCGAGGGTGAAATGAATTTGCTGCAGCCCGTGTGTGTGGCCACTCCGGCGGAGGGCGACACAAAAGGGAGGGATGCAGGCGCTGCGTGTGTCTGCAGGTGCCATGCAACAACGTCACAACAAACATGCTGCGACTCGGTGACCCTCACATCGCTGTGGTCCTCACGAACAGCCCGGGCACGGCCCGCATCGATGCACTTCGTGGACGGAGTGAGGCATCTTTTGAGGCGCAGCAGGGAGCAGGATGTGTTGACGCAGCCACGACGTGCATGGAGTGTCACGATGGCACAGCCGGCTGTGGCTGGTGGAATATTTGCTTCTCGGAGGCAACAGAGAGGGAGAGCTGCTGCTGCTGACGTCGTTGCTGCCTTTTGTGGCCTCCCATGCCGATTATTGTCTGTCCGCTGATCATGGGTGGTGTGCCTCCACTAGTGACGTCGTCTGCAGGCATTCCACAGCACCAGCGAAACACACATCACGTCGCATGCCTTGGCTGTGGATGTGGTGTCGTGAAATCAGCCGGCATTATTTTGCCCGACTCCTTTTCACTGCCTTGCGACAAATAGATGCGTCGCCGCCCGAGTCATTCACTGCAGCTCCGTGTGCTGTACTGCCGGCACAATACTCTCGTGTTGTCTGGCGCCTGGCTGACAGTCCAAGCACCACTGCGCTGGGACATGCAGGGATGTGGACTGCCGCTCACGGTGTTGGGCACCGCTGTTTGGACGCGGCAGCCACACGAGCGGATGTATTGTGGCACAATCGAATGCGTGAAATACGCGGAACCACAGCGGCTGCAATAATATCGACGGTGTGGCACCACGGAGTATGTGAGGGGTGATGCATGATGAATCAGAGTGGGCGGCATGCGAGGGAAGTGCACCGCGACGGAGCGTCGCCCCGCCCTCAGCCTGCAGGGGAATGTACGCCCACAAAATATATGGTCGAGGCACCACCAAACACGCATGCCCTTCTGTGCAGCAATAAATAGGAGCGAAGGTGCGTTCTGGTGCGTGGGAGTCCACTCACATATTCTCATTTCCACCGCAATAAACGGCGAGGAATCAGGTGCCACAGCAACGAATGAGGAAATAAAAACATCTATTGCAGCACTTTACCAGCGAAAAGCAGGAACAACGCAAATTGAATTATTGGCTGCACCAACACAATAAAAATTCACAAGAGAAGGAAACAGTTGTGCACACCGCAGGAACCCCAACACACGATGCAGGCATGAAGGTTTACCCTCCGCAAAAACAATAGCAACATATGCAGACATCTTCCACCCTCCAGAAAGAAACACAAATAAATGGCTGCTTTATTCCATTCCTTGCGCCTGACTTTGCGTGTGCTGCTGCTGCTGCGGTGGTGGCTGCGCTTCCCGTGGACCAACAATCCACGTGGTGTGCGGGGATCTATTCTTTTTCATGGTTACTTTACTGTTGTGTTGCTGTGTGCGCTGCACCTATTCTCGTGTGTGCGCACCCTCCGTGAGGGGTGCCGACACGACGGACCGCTCTCGCCGTATGTGCATGCGGTGGAGCCTTGTGTGCCGCTCCTGTTTGCTTCTCCCTCCTCCATCTGTGTGTTGGTGTTGCGGCAGGGCTGTGTGTGTGTGTGTGCCTGCTGCCGTGGATTGGAGTGTGTGCTGTGCGTGGTGTGCGGCGTACGGTGCATGCCTGGCTGCTGCCCTCTCCTCATGTGTGTGTTTGCCCTCTGTGTGTGTCTGCCGCACCTCTCGTCTCCCCTGTTGCTCTCCATGTCCCTCACTGTGCAGATCAGCTCCACACCACCGAACGACCACACTCACGATGACGACGTGCCGTCTGCTGTGCGCCCTGTTGGTGCTCACCCTGTGCTGCTGCCCGTCCTTGTGCGTGACAGCGACTGGTGGAGATCAAGATAAGCGTGGCCCAAATTCATCGCCTGCTTTGCCACAGGGAACAAGTGGCGCAGGACCCGGTGGGTCAAAGTCGCAAAGTACTTCGACGGAGACAAGTTCGACAGGTATGAACGTTACGTTACCGGGACCCCAAAGTCCGGAAGGTAAAGGACAAGCATCGGAAACGAGGACCGATACCGGAAATCCGGACGGTGAGGAATCCGCTCCGGCAGGGAACTCAAATACCGAAGGTACGGAGTCTATTCCAAAAGCGAAACCAGTTGGGTCCGATGGGTCAGGGTCGTCAGGTGGGTCCGCTAACCCAGCTGCAGCATCAATTTCCGTGACCGCTTCTGTACCGGCACAAGGTCAGAAGGAAAATGCGCCAACAACAACAACCACTACTACGACAAAAGCACCAACTACCACCACCACTACGACTACGGAGGCGCCAACTACAACGACCACCCGCGCACCGTCACTTCTTCGCGAAAGCGACGGCAGCCTCAGCAGCTCTGCGTGGGTGTGTGCCCCGCTGCTGCTCGCCGTATCCGCGCTGGCGTACACCACTCTGGGCTGAAGAATTGTGTGCGGGCTGTGCGTGCCGGCATTCAACCGCGGGGACTTGTGTGCGTCCACTGTGGTCCGATGTGCTAAACAGGATAAAATAATGATTGTGTTTTGCTTCACTTGCCTCCGCTGCCCTGCTGTGTGCTCCTTGCCGCTCCCCGCATCCGTCACGTTGAACGCACCCCGGACACACTCATGTGCATGGCACGCACACAACTGATTGCGTGGAGTCGCATTTGAGGATGGGTGCGTGCGCGCTGGAGCCATACTGTGCAGCCCTTTGTTTTGTGTGTGTTTACATTTTTACTTCATTGCTGTTTGTTTACCTGTGTTTTGTTTCTAATTGTTTTGTGTGTTTTTCTGTTTGCTTGCTGCGGGGCGTTGTGTGTTTTTGCCCTTTCACTGCTTTCAACTGCCTCATGGTGTGTGTGCGCTGCCGCTGCTGGGCTGCTGCCATTTGTGACTGTGCGGTGGCTGTGCGTGGTGTAGCGGCCGTGTCTCTCCTTTTGCTTCCGCTCTGCGTTGACGGGGAGTTAGTTTGTGCTGAAGGCTGCAGGCAAGTGACAGGAGTGATGGCGATGATGATGACTGGCCGTGTGCTGCTGGTGTGTGCCCTCTGCGTGCTGTGGTGCGGTGCCGGCGGCGGTGGCTGTGATGAGACAACGCAGGCTTCGCCTTCTGGCTCTGGTGGCGGCACGGTTGTTGGTACTGGTGCTGGCCCAAGTGGTGGAGCTGACAATGGTTTGGTTGCTTCTGAGCCTAATGGGGAGAGCGAGGGGGATCGTTTGGAGGGGACGGATTTGGGGCAAATAAACTCATCCCCTCGCGGTGGAACTGTGGGGCTAGACAACAAGTTGGCAGTGATGCCTGTGGGATCTCCGGTAACACGCAATCAAGTGTTGTCGAATGAAGCGCTGTCTTTGCAGTCACCACCATCACCAAAACCATCAGCACCAGAATTACAGGATTTGCCAGAAGGCCCACCACTATCCGGTGGCAGCCAAGGTGGTGAAGCTGACAATGCCGTTGGTGGTGTTGGCCCGAGTGGAAGTTCTTCTGGAAGTGGTGTTAAATCCATGGTATCCGCTTCTTTTTCCGCCTGTACGCTTTCACCCCCCAATCCCGTTGACTGGGATGTTTTGCAGGGCGGCAAGGGTACGACAGCCACCCTGAGCATGGATTCCTCAGAAAAAAGTGTTAAGTCACAATCAGCAGAACCTCCAGCACCCGCACAACCCAACTTGGATAGACAAGAGGCGTCAACATCTAATGCAGAAGACCACTCCCCTGTTAAGCCACACACCGCAGGAAATCAAGTTGTTAATGGCGGTGCAACTGGAAAGGAGAACACGCAGAGGGCCGCAGTGACGGGAGGACCTTCCAGCGACACACAACCAACAACACTGCAACCAGCTCCGCAAGAACAGCCAAAAACAGAACTAATAATAGTGCCCGCAGGAAAAGAACGCGCAACAGACCCACGTACTCGAGAAAAAGAAGAAAGAGACTCCAAGAAAGCACCACGACCACCACCACCGGCAAGTTCAGCAGGAGGAACCCCAGCAGCAAAAGACTTACAAATTTCAGTGGAGGAAATGCACCAAACGTCACCGTCAGAAACCCAAAAACTCCTTTTGGGACAAGAAACCCCTTCAAAGGATGACGCGGAAGATCAAAACACTGAGGGCACAGCAACATCGGATTCGGTGAAGGACGAAGCTGCCAGCAGCTTGGTGGAAACAACAGCTCCACCCATCTCTACAAGTGGCGGTGCTGATACAAAGAGTGTAGCGAGTGAGGATGCTGATAATGCTCAGCAGCCCAACCATAAAGAGGCACACAAAGACCCCGAGCCTCAAAATACGAGTCCTGCTTTTACAGCCACTGAGGCACTGCCACAAACAGCAATACCACTCACCACCGCTCCAACAAATGATACGACGACACCTGGCGACAGCGACGGCAGCACCGCGGTCTCCCACACCACCTCCCCTCCTTTGCTTCTTCTTGTTGTTGCGTGTGCGGCTGCTGCTGCGGTGGTGGCTGCGTGAGAGTGAGGGAGAGAGAGCCGTGCACCGCCCGCACACACACTCGTCCTTCACTCTCTGTGTGTGTCCCCTTGCATGGACTCTCGCCCTCACCTCACTCCACGAAGCACACACAATAATGTGCCCATTGTATATATGCATGCACACCCATGCAGGCCCGTTGGTGCTTTCTTTTGCACGACACGCACCGCTGCCGTCCTGCCTGGCTGCATGGGCGGAGCACCGTAACTGTTTCTGTTTTGTTTTTATTGCATTGAGTGGGCGACCTCTCTCTCTCCCTATTGGGCTTTACGGGAGCAATGGGAGTGTGTGCGCTGGTCGTCCCACCTGTTGCTGCGCGTCCCCACTGCTGGGTGGACGCCCCCACGCTTCGGCTTTTTGTTGTTGGTATTTTTTATTCTCTGCCTGTGTTGTGGTTGAGTGCACCCATCTTACTTTTTTTGATTGCTGGTTTGCTTTGACTGCGGACGCCTGATTCCTCTTTGTGTGTTCTCACATTGTTTTCTTTCTCCTTCTAAAAGTGTCAGCCACTCGTATCCTTGTAAAGCCACAACGTCCTTTCTTTTCCACATACGCCATGCGTCAGTTGATCCACGTCACCCCACGGTCTGCAGCGCTGCTGGAGCTGCTTGTGATGATGCCTGCGACGGGAATTGCCAGCGGGTGCTTTGCTGCCACCCTGACGTATCCTTTGCTTCCTTGACGATGTAGGGCGTACCGACGGCGCGCGGGCGTCTGTGGTGATGGTGAGGCACGTGCGTCTCAAACCGTATGATGCGTCGCAGGTGTGCAGCGTCGTTTCGAAGCACCAATGGGCGTTTCTACTCATCATGGCGTCCACAACGGATCCGGATGGCAGCAGGAGGCACTGCGATTCCTCCTGGTGTTGCACAGCGACTTTGTTGGACGGCGCGCCTGATTGGCGTCTCTTGGGGCTTTTGTGGGAGAAGGTGGGAGGCTGAGGGCATTAGGACTGAATTGTTTTGAGTGGCTGCGTTCCGTTGACTTGCGGTCGGTCGTTGCACTCTTTTGGGGTTTGGCGGCCCGTCTCTTTTGTTTACTTCCCACCGCAGCACGCGGATAACACTGGTCCGAGGAGCACTTGTTTGACGGGTGTGAGCTGCTGCCGTGCGTGGTGCATGGACTATTTGATTGTGTGGGGAGGTGCATGGAGTGACGAATACTTCTGTTTTGCGTGTCGCGGTGTGTCGGAATGATGTTCGGAAAACATGTGAGGGGTGTTGTGTGTGGTTTGTGTGTCTTCTCTGGTGGAGCCGACATGTGTGCGGGGATTGTGGCATTGCTGGCTGACAGTTCCACGTCACTTTTCGGCATTCCTGGATGTGCTGAGGAATGACGGCTGGCGACCAGCGTGTTGGTGCTGCTGGTGGGAATAAGTGCATCGGGAATAGGCCATTTTCTCTTTCCCATGCTGGAGCCGATGAACTGGCACGAGGGCAGCGGCTGCAGGCTGCCTGCCAGCACGTGTGAGCAGCGGATCCATGCACACACAGACGCTCATCGCAAGAGCCTGTGCGATCACAGTGGCTTTTGTGGCGTGCTTTTGTGGGCGTCAGCCCGTCGGAGAATGTGTGAAGCAAACGGCTGACTGCACGCAAGGAGAATAAGTGCGTGCACTGTGCCGTGTTTCGGCGTCGATGGCAGAGCGGCAGGAGGCCCGTGCTGGCAACTGAGATCTTTGCGTGGCGAGGGATGTCGGTGTTGATTTTGGATCGTCGAGGGTGAAATGAATTTGCTGCTGCCCGTGTGTGTGGCCACTCCGGCGGAGGGCGAACACAAAAGGGAAGGATGCAGGCGCTGCGTGTGTGTGTGCAGGTGCCATGCAACAACGTCACAACAAACATGCTGCGACTCGGTGACCCTCACATCGCTGTGGTCCTCATGAACAGCCGAGGCACGGCCCGCATCGATGCACTTAGTGGACGGAGTGAGGCATCTTTTGAGGCGCTGCAGGGAGCAGGATGTGTTGACGCAGCCACGACGTGCATGGAGTGTCACGATGGCACAGCCGGCTGTGGCTGGTGGAATAATTGCTTCTCGGAGGCAACAGATAGAGAGAGAGCTGCTGCTGCTGACGTCGTTGCTGCCTTTTGTGGCCTCCCATGCCGATTATTGTCTGTCCGCTGATCATGGGTGGTGTGCCTCCACTAGTGACGTCGTCTGCAGGCATTTCACAGCACCAGCGAAACACACATCACGTCGCATGCTTTGGCTGTGGGTATGGTGTCGTGAATGCAGCCGGCATTATTTTGCCCGACTCCTTTTCACTGCCTTGCGACAAATAGATGCGTCGCCGCCCGAGTCATTCGCTGCAGCTCCGTGTGTTGTACTGCCGGCACAATACTCTCGTGTTGTCTGGCGCCTGGCTGAAAGTCAAGCACCACTGCGCTGGGACATGCAGGGATGTGGACTGCCGCTCACGGTGTTGGGCACCGCTGTTTGGATGCGGCAGCCACACGAGCGGATGTATTGTGGCACAATGAAATGCGTGAAATACGCGGAACCACAGCGGCTGCAATAATATCGACGGTGTGGCACCACGGAGTATGTGAGGGGTGATACATGATGAATCAGAGTGGGCGGCATGCGAGGGAAGTGCACCGCGACGGAGCGTCGCCCCGCCCTCAGCCTGCAGGGGAATGTACGCCCACAAAATATATGGTCGAGGCACCACCAAACACGCATGCCCTTCTGTGCAGCAATAAATAGGAGCGAAGGTGCGTTCTGGTGCGTGGGAGTCCACTCACATATTCTCATTTCCACCGCAATAAACGGCGAGGAATCAGGTGCCACAGCAACGAAGGAGGAAATAAAAACATCTATTGCAGCACTTTACCAGCGAAAAGCAGGAACAACGCAAATTGAATTATTGGCTGCACCAACACAATAAAAATTCACAAGGGAAGGAAACGGTTGTGCACACCGCAGGAACCCCAACACACGATGCAGGCATGAGGGTTTACCCTTCGCAAAAACAATGGCAACATATGCAGACATCTTCCACCCTCCAGAAAGAAACACAAATAAATGGCTGCTTTATTCCATTCCTTGCGCTTGACTTTGCGTGTGCTGCTGCTGCTGCGGTGGTGGCTGCGCTTCCCGTGGACCAACAATCCACGTGGTGTGCGGGGATCTATTCTTTTTCATGGTTACTTTGCTTTTGTGTTGCTGTGTGCGCTGCACCTTCTTGTGTGTGTGCGTTCCCTCCGTGAGGGGTGCCGACACGACGGACCGCTCTCGCCGTATGTACATGCGGTGGAGCCTTTTGTGCCGCTCCTGTTTGCTTCCCCCTCTTCCATCTGTGTGTTGGTGTTGCGGCAGGGCTGTGTGTGTGTGTGCCTGTTGCCGTGGATTGGAGTGTGTGCTGTGCGTGGTGTGCGGCGTACGGTGCATGCCTGGCTGCTGCCCTTTCCTCATGTGTGTGTTTGCCCTCTGTGTGTGTCTGCCGCACCTCTCGTCTCCCCTGTTGCTCTCCATGTCCCTCACTGTGCAGATCAGCTCCACACCACCGAACGACCACACTCACGATGATGACGTGCCGTCTGCTGTGCGCCCTGTTGGTGCTTGCCGCGTGCTGCTGCCCGTCCGTGGGCGCGACAACGACTGGTGGAGATCCAGGTAAGGGTAGCGTTTCAGCGCTCCCTCAGCCACCGGGAGAAGTTGGTGCAGGGCCAAAAAATGCTTCCACGGCGTCAGGTTCAACAGTTCCGACCGCCACGTTACCGGAAACCGGAAATCCGGACAGTCAGCAACCCGCTCTGCCAGGGAGTCCAGGTACAGAAGGTTCGGAGTCTATTCCAAAAGCGAAACCAGTTGGGTCCGATGGGTCAGGGTCGTCAGGTGGGTCCGCTAACCCAGCTGCGGCATCAATTTCCGTGACCGCTTCTGTACCGGCACAGAGTCAGAAGGAAAATGCGCCAACAACAACAACCACTACTACGACAAAAGCACCAACTACCACCACCACTACGACTACGGAGGCGCCAACTACAACGACCACCCGCGCACCGTCACTTCTTCGCGAAAGCGACGGCAGCCTCAGCAGCTCTGCGTGGGTGTGTGCCCCGCTGCTGCTCGCCGTATCCGCGCTGGCGTAAACCACTCTGGGCTGAGGAATTGTGTGCGGGCTGTGCGTGCCACCACCCAACCGCGGGGACTTGTGTGCGTCCACTGTGGTCCGATGTGCTAAACCGGATAAAATAATGATTGTGTTTTGCTTCACTTGCCTCCGCTGCCCTGCTGTGTGCTCCTTGCCGCTCCCCGCATCCGTCACGTTGAACGCACCCCAGACACACTCATGTGCATGGCACGCACACAACTGATTGCGTGGAGTCGCATTTGAGGATGGGTGCGTGCGTGCTGGAGCCATGCTGTGCAGTCCTTTGTTTTGTGTGTTTACATTTTAACTTCATTGCTGTTCGTTTACCTGTGTTTTGTTTCTAATTGTTTTGTGTGTTTTTCTGTTTGCTTGCTGCGGGGCGTTGTGTGTTTTTGCCCTTTCACTGCTTTCAACTGCCTCATGGTGTGTGTGCGCTGCCGCTGCTGGGCTGCTGCCATTTGTGACTGTGCGGTGGCTGTGCGTGGTGTAGCGGCCGTGTCTTTCCTTTTGTTTTCTGTGCTTTTGCAGGCGGCTCCACAGCGTTGGGCGACTCCACTGTTTGTGATGATGACTGGCCGTGTGCTCTGCGTCCTGTTGGCTCCTGCAGTGATGTGCAACAGCTCGTGCGTGTTTTTGACGGCTGTTGCGACGGTGTGTGTGTGCGGCCCGCTGGTGATGGCGCGGTGACTGCTGAGCACGCGCGGGCTGTGATGGCTGCGGGTGGAGGACCGTGGCCGGTGGCTCTGGACGAAAGGGGAACGTGAACTCTGAGGTTGACAGCAATCAGGAAGACGAGGAGGGTGGAGAAAACACGGCGGGTGAGGGTCCCAATCCCACCCCCGCAGGACCACTCACTGCTCCGACGAGGCAGGATCAATCCTGCAGCGACCCACTGCGAAGCAACAATTGCAATCCGTCCGGCACTGGCAGCGCCCCTGCCGCTCAGATGCGTGCAAATGGACCGGAGTCTTTGGGCGGAGGGCACGCTGGTGGCGGGAGGACCTCCCAGGGAAGTGAGGCTTCGGAAAAAACCGTCACGGGACAGTCGCAGTGCCAGGGACGGCAAAGGAAACACCGCAATACGATGAAGGAGGAGAACCCGGAGCGCAACACGAGGCCGACCAAACCACGAAAATGACTGTGATGACTTTTTGCGCAAAACAGCAGTGGAGCAGGAGGGTCACCAGCGAGATCGCAAGGTGCGCCACGACCCGATGGTGGCGAGAATGCTCATTATTATCTTTTCCCTACTCTTACCGGCGCGTCTAGCCGCACGAAGCCATCCTGGTGCCGAGGAGGCGGTTGAGCAGCGGAAAAAGCTTCCTGCTATGAAGCGACTGCCATTGAGAGAACTTTTTGTTGCGTGGATCTTCCTGAATGCCCCGCCGTTGGCGCGCAGCGGAGGTGCCTGGGCATTCTAGAAGCAGATGGCGAAAGGTCTCCTGCGTGTCAACTGGCGTGCCTGTGGAGTTTGGCTGGTCCTGTAGTGGCGGAGACCGCTTCCTGGCACCACAGAGCGAGTAGCGGTGAGTGGCTTGGCGAATGGTACGACGCCACTTGTTGCTGGGCTGGGCAGTAAAGCATGTCAGCGGGTCCGTGTGCCATATGGGCGCGATTCCATGTTCCGTGTGTTGTCCGGTTGCCATGGTCTGCGTCGCATACTGATCTGCAAGCTCGTCAACATGCACTCCAAAATGTCCGTAACAAAACTGCCGGTGCACGGACCGGCCTGCACGCATCAGTGTCAAGAGACGCTGCCGGATCCGGTCCTTGTTGAGGGCCGCTAGGAGAGACTGGCTTTGTGTCGCCACAAGCGGGGTTTTTACTTCTGTGGTGGATCCGAGGGATAATCAGCCACTGCAGGGTCAGGAGCAGCGCACTGGATTCCGTCCTGCAGCTTCAAGGGCGTGTGCCGCAGTTGTTACTTACTTTCTCTATTATCTGCGAGGAATGCAGGGATGAAGGCGGTATGCCAACGCAGGCTGGCGTGGGAACGTCGAAATCGCCATCCGTTGCGAGTATCCACGAGCGGTGGCTGTGCAGCGCTGGAGCCTCCTCGCTGACTCTGCGCATTTCCCTTATCAGGTCTTTTTCGTCGGTGATTGAGTGGTCTATCGGAAGTTCCACAGCGATGGTGACCCGGTGAGCGGAGGCCGCAGACCAGGGAGGAATGGAGCCACGAAAGAACCGCTCTTCGCGTGGTGAGTCCTCGGTGATGCCGTAGCCCTTTGCGCATGCGTCTACGAAGGCATATGGCTCGTGCCGAGACAACGGCGGGATGCGGAAACCAGCGCAAGGCGAAGGCTCAGACGTTGATCTCCGCTTCCAGTCCATCTGACAATTGCGTGTGTTATCAAACATGGAGAGCCGCGTGCAGGCGGACGACGTGGAGCGGCGGTATATTTGCTTCTAGGGGTGCGGATTCCGGGTCGACAGTGCTCGGAACTCCGCTGACGATGCGTGCCAGACCTGCGTACGTCTCTTGCATCTCATTCTTCGCTGAATCCGTCGCTACTGCCCATATGAGCTCGCTGCCGTAGCGCAATTTGGATGCGCCGTATCCGATGATGAACGTGCGTGGGTCATGTGGAGATGGCCCCGCCTCTTTGTGCGCAATGCGGCGTGGCTGCGATATCCGTTGCGAGGCGGCCGCCACATTTACCGTCAGTTGCGGATCGAGATCCATGCCGAGAAGCTTCGTAGTTCGCGATGCCCCCATGGTCATGACTGGAATTTTACATCCAGTCACTTCCAGGGACCACTTTCCTTTGCGATCATAGTTTGACTCCGTGTGCGTGGAGAGTGTGAACCAAGCGGCTTTGCACTTTGACGGGATGATGGCCAGGCCACTTTACTGACCCCGCGCGTGCAGTTTTTTGAGGACCGTGTTGGCTGCAGGAATGGTGTCTTCCCGAGAGTGGCCGCCGATTACAATGGAGAGATCGTCCGCGTGCATGTCTGCTGTGACGCCTGAGAAGCCGTTCAGCAGGTTGAGAAGTGGGTGTGCGTAAAGAGAGAAGAAACATGTGTTCCCAATACGGACCCCTGAGGAACTCCTCGCAGCGTGGAAGACCGATCGCCGTGTCTGTTGCCAACTCGTGTCTTCGCGTAGCGACCACGCAGAAATTTTCCAAGCCACCTTCGGCAGTTCACCCCCCGGAATATTGACCGGCAAGCGACTGAGGACTCGATGAGCAATGAGCTCAAAGGCCTTGCTGGAGTCTACCAGCACCAACGGAGCCCGATGGGGTCTGCAGTGGAGCTGGCTTCCAACACCGCTCTTCTTGGGAAGGTTCGCTTGGAAGTAATCGGTTCTGTTATGCTCCACTTCTTGTATCAGGTGTGCCAGCTGCATCGTCGTGGTACGCATACTACGGCACGCATGCTGGTGGGGACGAGGCGTCTACAGACAAAGCGGTCTCCTCAATGCCATTTTCTCAGCGACCTTACCCACGATGGAGGGAAGGCTGATGGGTCGATATGACTCCGTTAGCGCCGGCGAATTACCGGGTTTCAGGACTGGGACGATGGTGGCTCGTCGCCACTGGACCGGAATCGTGCCGGCTGTCCGGCTGTGGTTGATGCGGCGGAGAGGGAGTCGGGGACACTTCGTCGAAAGATGTGGTAGCGCCCCGCTGTAGACTTCGTCCGGTCCGGGGTCTTGCCGTACGGTGTGCTGCGCAGCGCTGCACGCGGTTCCGTACGATTAAAAGAGGCATCCAGAGAGAGGGGAGAGAAGGAACCTATCGAAGATGAGGCGGCCGACTCGTTGTTGTTCTGCGGCCTAAGAAGGGGAGGGAGAAGAAATACACAAGGACTTGTTTTCTCCGTTTTTTCCCGTTGGAAGATCCAATCGCCTTGCGAGGTGGGGAGGAACCCAAGATTGAGCGCATCCGCTGCTCTCCTTGCTGTCCCGAAATTATTCTTGCGGCCATCGCACATCAACGCCGTTGTGGGAGACGGAATTGATGTCTTTTTACGTCCGGAATGTATTTTTTAGGCGAGTGGTTTGCCTGGGTTTAACTTGCTGATGCGACGCCGATATTTGCTGCGCGAGCGCTCACGGAGTAGGAGGAAGAATTGGCTCCTTGCCCGTTGCGTCTCTGTTTCACGGTCGGGCGTCGGTAACTGCAGACAGCGGGCCTTGCTGTCGGTAGCAATCCGCTCTGCCTTCGCAATGGTGTCGCCCCGGAGCCTGGGATCATCCTTGTGCATGCCGCGGGGTCAATGCCGTCGAAGTGAAACTGCAAGTGCTCTCGTAAAGGCTTTAATGCCGGTTGATTGCTTTTTATGGTCGCATGCTGGAAGTTGTGCGTCGAGGTCGTTGGCGAAGGACTCCCACTTGGACTTCCACCAGCTGTAGAAAACTCGACGTACCGAAGTGGGTGCCGAGGGCATGGTATCCTTAAATGCCTGATGCAGCGTGAATGTCAACACATAGTGGTCACTGAGCGGCGGCACATTGGCTCTCCAGTCGGACACGGTAAGATGCCTTGACCATGTCCGGTTGATACAGGATCTCTCTCTTGCACCACGAGCATGCTTTGTTTCACCAGGGGTGTTAACCAAGGTGCGTCCTGCATCCGTGCGCGGTTGTATAAAATTCTACAGCGGAGTTGCTTGGAGGGGTCTCCAGGAAGGGCTCCCACCGTGGGCGACGCAGGTTGAAATCTCCACACTGAATGAGCGGCGACGAGACCGAGAGGCAGCTCAGCAACCGCCTAAGGGTTGTGTCGGTTGCGGCGGTGGTCTCATATAGGTGCTCGCCACAATAAGATCACGGTTCTGGCCCAGCGCGAATTTGACCATCACCACTTCGAGGCTGGAATCACGTTGAGGAGTGATGAGGGGCATACGCTTGGAGCGGAGGTTTTTCCGCACCAGCGCCGCTGCAACACATTCCTTGCGGATACGTGATTGTGCGTGGGGCACACACTCTCCAGTATGCATGCTGGCGATCTGCTCCGACGACCTCCAGGTCTCCTGGATGGCTATCATGTCTGCTCCCTGCGCCATTAATGTTGCGGGTTTGGCCGGCGTCAGTGAGGAAACGGTCATCTGGAGTGCTGCTATGGGGCTCGGGCTCCGCTCAACGTCTCCGCCTCGCAGTAGCTTTTGCCTCTGTGCGTCACATACGGCACGCAGACGACACGTGTAGCGCTGGTAAGCGCCGACGAAATCCGGCAGCAGTGAAACCCGCTCGTCCGTCGCATCGTCTGAATCCCACTTGCTGCGATCCCCACTGCCGTCTGCACACTTCGTGCTTGCGTGCCCCCTGGTGGCCGGGATATGGTTTGGCCCTTCGCGCTGTATGCGCTTGAATTGTCCTTTCGCGACTCTTCGCTTGTCTTGGCCCCTGGCCCCGGCGGTGTATTGAATGCGTTGCTGCGCCATCTTGTACCCGCAGCCCGCTGCTCGCTCAGAGCGATGAGTGGCACCTCCCTTGCTGACGGCAGCCTGCGAAGTTCCTGGGAAACGGGGGACACTACTCGCATCCGCAGACACGGGAAGAACGCATGCCGCACGGAGAATTGTCGGCCCCTCCCGCTGCTCTCTGTCCTGCTAGGGGTGAGCGAAGGACCGGTCCACCGCCGCCTGTCAGCGCTGCCGGCACGCCACCGACGTCAGCCTCGATTAACGCCACGACGCACGGTCTCCGACGTGGTGACGCCTGTCCGTGACAAAACGGCACGAGGGCTGAGCGAGCGCATCGCCGTGGAGTGTGGGCGTCGCAGGGGCGGCGTCCCGCGCTGCACCCTCACCGTCGTCGCTCTCTCGCAGTCGCGACCAGCATCTCGACTGCGTTCGACACCGTTGACGATGGGCGATTGCTGGCTGTGGTCTGCGGGCTCCCGCGCCTGTGCTGTCGAGCCCAACACTGGTTGCGCAGCCGCGTTGGGGTGAGTGATCGCGTTGGGGTGAGTGATCGCAAACAATATTTCCGACAGTAGCTCGCCTCAGCCGGGCCAGCCCACTGCAGCACGTGGATAACACTGCTCCGAAGAGCACTTGCTTAGACGGGTGTGAGCTGCTGCCGTGCGTGGTGCATGGACTATTTGATTTTGTGGGGAAGGTGCATGGAGTGACGAATACTTCTGTTTGGCGTGTCGCGGTGTGTCGGAATGATGTTCGGAAAACATGTGAGGGGTGTTGTGTGTTGTTTGTGCGTCTTCTCTGGTGGAGCCGACATGTGTGCGGGGATTGTGGCATTGCTGGCCGACAGTTCCACGTCACTTTTCGGCACTCCTGGATGTGCTGAGGAATGACGGCTGGCGACCAGCGTGTTGGTGCTGCTGGTGGGAATAAGTGCGCTAGGAATTGGCCATTTTCTCTTTCCCATGATGGAGCCGATGAACTGGCACGAGGGCACCGGCTGCAGGCTGCCTGCCAGCACGTGTGAGCAGCGGATCCATGCACGCACAGACGCTCATCGCAAGAGCCTGTGCGATCACAGTGGCTTTTGTGGCGTGCTTTTGTGGGCGTCAGCCCGTCGGAGAATGTGTGAACCAAACGGCTGACTGCACGCAAGGAGAATAAGTGCGTGCACTGTGCCGTGTTTCAGCGTTGATGGCAGAGCGGCAGGAGGCCGTGCTGGCAACTGAGATCTTTGCGTGGCGAGGGATGTCGGTGTTGATTTTGGATCGTCGAGGGTGAAATGAATTTGCTGCAGCCCGTGTGTGTGGCCACTCCGGCGGAGGGCGAACACAACAGGGAAGGATGCAGGCGCTGCGTGTGTGTGCAGGTGCCATGCAACAACGTCACAACAAACATGCTGCGACTCGGTGACCCTCACACTGCTGTGGTCCTCACGAACAGCCCGGGCACGGCCCGCATCGATGCACTTAGTGGACGGAGTGAGGCATCTTTTGAGGCGCAGCAGGGAGCAGGATGTGTTGACGCAGCCACGACGTGCATGGAGTGTCACGATGGCACAGCCGGCTGTGGCTGGTGGAATAATTACTTCTCGGAGGCAACAGAGAGGGAGAGAGAGCTGCTGCTGCTGCTGACGTCGTTGCTGCCTTTTGTGGCCTCCCATGCCGATTATTGTCTGTCCGCTGATCATGGGTGGTGTGCCTCCACTAGTGACGTCGTCTGCAGGCATTTCACAGCACCAGCGAAACACACATCACGTCGCATGCTTTGGCTGTGGGTATGGTGTCGTGAATGCAGCCGGCATTATTTTGCCCGACTCCTTTTCACTGCCTTGCGACAAATAGATGCGTCGCCGCCCGAGTCATTCGCTGCAGCTCCGTGTGTTGTACTGCCGGCACAATACTCTCGTGTTGTCTGGCGCCTGGCTGAAAGTCAAGCACCACTGCGCTGGGACATGCAGGGATGTGGACTGCCGCTCACGGTGTTGGGCACCGCTGTTTGGATGCGGCGGCCACACGAGCGGATGTATTGTGGCACAATCAAATGCGTGAAATACGCGTAATCACAGCGGTTGCAATGATATCAGCGGTGTGGCACCACGGAGTATGTGAGGGGTGATGCATGATGAATCAGAGTGGGCGGCATGCGAGGGAAGTGCACCGCGACGGAGCGTCGCCCCGCCCTCAGCCTTCAGGGGAATGTACGCCCACAAAATATATGGTCGAGGCACCACCAAACACGCATGCCCTTCTGTGCAGCAATAAATAGGAGTGAAGGTGCGTTCTGGTGCGTGGGAGTCCACTCACATATTCTCATTTCCACCGCAATAAACGGCGAGGAATCAGGTGCCACAGCAACGAAGGAGGAAATAAAAACATCTATTGCAGCACTTTACCAGCGAAAAGCAGGAACAACACAAATTGAATTATTGGCTGCACCAACACAATAAAAATTCACAAGAGAAGGAAACAGTTGTGCACACCGCAGGAACCCCAACACACGATGCAGGCATGAAGGTTTACCCTCCGCAAAAACAATAGCAACATATGCAGACATCTTCCACCCTCCAGAAAGAAACACAAATAAATGGCTGCTTTATTCCTTTCCTTGCGCTTGACTTTGCGTGTGCTGCTGCTGCTGCGGTGGTGGCTGCGCTTCCCGTGGACCAACAATCCACGTGGTGTGCGGGGATCTATTCTTTTTCATGGTTACTTTGCTTTTGTGTTGCTGTGTGCGCTGCACCTTCTTGTGTGTGTGCGTTCCCTCCGTGAGGGGTGCCGACACGACGGACCGCTCTCGCCGTATGTGCATGCGGTGGAGCCTTGTGTGCCGCTCCTGTTTGCTTCTCCCTCCTCCATCTGTGTGTTGGTGTTGCGGCAGGGCTGTGTGTGTGTGTGCCTGTTGCCGTGGATTGGAGTGTGTGCTGTGCGTGGTGTGCGGCGTACGGTGCATGCCTGGCTGCTGCCCTCTCCTCATGTGTGTGTTTGCCCTCTGTGTGTGTCTGCCGCACCTCTCGTCTCCCCTGTTGCTCTCCATGTCCCTCACTGTGCAGATCAGCTCCACACCACTGAATGACCACACTCACGATGACGACGTGCCGTCTGCTGTGCGCCCTGTTGGTGCTTGCCGCGTGCTGCTGCCCGTCCGTGTGCGTGACAGCGACTGGTGGAGATCCAAATAAGGGTAGCTCCAGCTTATCGCCTTCTCAGTCAAAGGAAGCAGGTGCTCAAGGCACGTCAGGTGACTCAGCGTCGCAAAGTTCAACAGATCCGACCGATGCGTCACCGTCAAAGAGTCCAGGGACCGGTACGGTAAAAAATCCGGGGAACGATGCGAAACAGCCACACAGTGCGCCCGGTTCGCAAGGGGCAGGAGATGCGCATAACCGTAATGGACAGGAACCAATTAAGGAGTCCAGTACGTCAGGGTCAGCAGAACCGAATGAAAAGGTACAGGAACAGGCAACAATTTCCGGGGCCGGTGGGAAAGGGCCCTCAAGTCAGCCCAGTAATGGACAGACACAAAGTGAAAACCCCACATCACAAGGATCAAGTGCGGGAAACGGTGTGCCAAGGAGTCCAGGTACAGAAGGTTCGGAGTCTATTCCAAAAGAGGGAGCAGATGGGTCCGATGCGTCAGGGTCGCCAGGTGGGTCAGTTAGTCCAGCTGCAGCATCAATTTCCGTGACCGCTTCTGTACCGGCACAAGGTCAGAAGGAAAATGCGCCAACAACAACAACCACGACTACGACAAAAGCACCAACTACCACCACCACTACGACTACGGAGGCGCCAACTACAACGACCACCCGCGCACCGTCACTTCTTCGCGAAAGCGACGGCAGCCTCAGCAGCTCTGCGTGGGTGTGTGCCCCGCTGCTGCTCGCCGTATCCGCGCTGGCGTACACCACTCTGGGCTGAAGAATTGTGTGCGGGCTGTGCGTGCCGGCATTCAACCGCGGGGACTTGTGTGCGTCCACTGTGGTCCGATGTGCTAAACAGGATAAAATAATGATTGTGTTTTGCTTCACTTGCTTCCGCTGCCCTGCTGTGTGCTCCTTGCCGCTCCCCGCATCCGTCACGTTGAACGCACCCCAGACACACTCATGTGCATGGCACGCACACAACTGATTGCGTGGAGTCGCATTTGAGGATGGGTGCGTGCGTGCTGGAGCCATGCTGTGCAGCCCTTTGTTTTGTGTGTGTTTACATTTTTACTTCATTGCTGTTCGTTTACCTGTGTTTTGTTTCTAATTGTTTTGTGTGTTTTTCTGTTTGCTTGCTGCGGGGCGTTGTGTGTTTTTGCCCTTTCACTGCTTTCAACTGCCTCATGGTGTGTGTGCGCTGCCGCTGCTGGGCTGCTGCCATTTGTGACTGTGCGGTGGCTGTGCGTGGTGTAGCGGCCGTGTCTCCCCTTTTGTTTTCTGTGCTTTTGCAGGCAGCTCCACAGCGTTGGGCGACTCCACTGTTTGTGATGATGACTGGCCGTGTGCTCTGCGTCCTGTTGGCTCCTGCAGTGATGTGCAACAGCTCGTGCGTGTTTTTGACGGCTGTTGCGACGGTGTGTGTGTGCGGCCCGCTGGTGATGGCGCGGTGACTGCTGAGCACGCGCGGGCTGTGATGGCTGCGGGTGGAGGACCGTGGCCGGTGGCTCTGGACGAAAGGGGGACGTGAACTCTGAGGTTGACAGCAATCAGGAAGACGAGGAGGGTGGAGAAAACACGGCGGGTGAGGGTCCCAATCCCACCCCCGCAGGACCACTCACTGCTCTGACGAGGCAGGATCAATCCTGCAGCGACCCACTGCGAAGCAACAATTGCAATCCGTCCGGCACTGGCAGCGCCCCTGCCGCTCAGATGCGTGCAAATGGACCGGAGTCTTTGGGCGGAGGGCACGCTGGTGGCGGGAGGACCTCCCAGGGAAGTGAGGCTTCGGAAAAACCGTCACGGGAGAGTCACAGTGCCAGGGACGGCAAAGGAAACACCGCAATACGATGAAGGAGGAGAACCCGGAGCGCAACATGAGGCCGACCAAACCACGAAAATGGCTGATGACTTGTTGCGCAAAACAGCAGTGGAGCAGGAGGGTCACCAGCGAGATCGCAAGGTGCGCCACGACCCGATGGTGGCGAGAATGCTCATTATTATTTTTCCCACTCTTACCGGCGCGTCTAGCCGCACGAAGCCATCCTGGTGCCGAGGAGGCGGTTGAGCAGCGGAAAAAGCTTCCTGCTATGAAGCGACTGCCACTGAGAGAACTTTTTGGTGCGTGGATCTTCCTGAATGCCCCGCCGTTGGCGCGCAGCGGAGGTGCCTGGGCATTCTAGGAGCAGATGGCGGAAGGTTTCCTGCGTGTCAACTGGCGCGCCTGTGGAGGTTGGCTGATCCTGCGGTGGCGGAGACCGCTTCCTGGCACCACAGAACGAGTAGCGGTGAGTGGCTTGGCGAATGGTACAACGCCACTTGTTGCTGGGCTGGGCAGTAAAGCATGTCAGCGGGTCCGTGTGCCATATGGGCGCGATTCCATGTTCCGTGTGTTGTCCGATTGCCATGGTCTGCGTCGCATACTGATCTGCAAGCTCGTCAACATGCACTCCAAAATGTCCGTAACAAAACTGCCGGTGCACGGACCGGCCTGCACGCATCAGTGTCAAGAGACGCTGCCGGATCCGGTCCTTGTTGAGGGCCGCTAGGAGAGACTGGCTTTGTGTCGCCACAAGCGGGGTTTTTACTTCTGTGGTGGATCCGAGGGATAATCAGCCACTGCAGGGTCAGGAGCAGCGCACTGGATTCCGTCCTGCAGCTTCAAGGGCGTGTGCCGCAGTTGTTACTTGCTTTCTCTATTATCTGCGAGGAATGCAGGGATGAAGGCGGTATGCCAACGCAGGCTGGCGTGGGAACGTCGAAATCGCCATCCGTTGCGAGTATCCACGAGCGGCGGCTGTGCAGCGCTGGAGCCTCTTCGCTGACTCTGCGCATTTCCCTTATCAGTTCTTCGTCGTCGGTGATTGATTGGTCTATCGGAAGTTCCACACCGATGGTGACCCGGTGAGCGGAGGCCGCAGACCAGGGAGGAATGGAGCCACGAAAGAACCGCTCTTCGCGTGGTGAGTCCTCGGTGATGCCGTAGCCCTTTGTGTATGCGTCTACAAAGGCATATAGCTCGTGCCGATACAACGGCGGGATGCGGAAACCAGCGCGAGGCGAAGGCTCAGACGTTGATCTCCGCTTCCAGTCCATCTGACAATTGCGTGTGTTATCAAACATGGAGAGCCGCGTGCAGGCGGACGAAATGGAGCGGCGGTATATTTGCTTCTAGGAGTGCGGATTACTGGTCGACAGTGCTCGGAACTCCGCTGACGATGCGTGCCAGACCTGCGTACGTCTCTTGCATCTCATTCTTCGCTGAATCCGTCGCTACTGCCCATATGAGCTCGCTGCCATAGCGTAATTTGGATGCACCGTATCCGATGATGAACGTGCGTGGGTCATGTGGAGATGGCCCCGCCTCTTTTTGCGCAATGCGGCGTGGCTGCGATATCCGTTGCGAGGCGGCCGCCACATTTAACGTCAGTTGCGGATCGAGATCCATGCCGAGAAGCTTCGCAGTTCGCGATGCCCCCATGGTCATGACTGGAATTTTACATCCAGTCACTTCCAGGGACCACTTTCCTTTGCGATCATAGTTTGACTCCGTGTGCGTGGAGAGTGTGAACCAAGCGGCTTTGCACTTTGACGGGATGATGGCCAGGCCACTTTACTGACCCCGCGCGTGCAGTTTTTTGAGGACCGTGTTGGCTGCAGGAATGGTGTCTTCCCGAGAGTGGCCGCCGATTACAATGGAGAGATCGTCCGCGTGCATGTCTGCTGTGACGCCTGAGAAGCCGTTCAGCAGGTTGAGAAGTGGGTGTGCGTAAAGGGAGAAGAAAAATGTGTTCCCAATACGGACCCCTGAGGAACTCCTCGCAGCGTGGAAGACCGATCGCCGTGTCTGTTGCCAACTCGTGTCTTCGCGTAGCGACCACGCAGAAATTTTCCAAGCCACCTTCGGCAGTTCACCCCCGGAATATTGGCCGGCAAGCGACTGAGGACTCGATAGACAGTGAACTAAAAGGCCTTGCTGGAGTCTACCAGCACCAACGGAGCCCGATGGGGTCTGCAGTGGAGCTGGCTTCCAACACCGCTCTTCTTGGGAAGGTTCGCTTGGAAGTAATCGGTTCTGTTATGCTCCACTTCTTGTATCAGGTGTGCCAGCTGCATCGTCGTGGTACGCATACTACGGCACGCATGCTGGTGGGGACGAGGCGTCTACAGACAAAGCGGTCTCCTCAATGCCATTTTCTCAGCGACCTTACCCACGATGGAGGGAAGGCTGATGGGTCGATATGACTCCGTTAGCGCCGGCGAATTACCGGGTTTCAGGACTGGGACGATGGTGGCTCGTCGCCACTGGACCGGAATCGTGCCGGCTGTCCGGCTGTGGTTGATGCGGCGGAGAGGGAATCGGAGACACTTCGTCGAAAGATGTGGTAGCGCCCCGCTGTAGACTTCGTCCGGTCCGGGGCCTTGCCGTACGGTGTGCTGCGCAGCGCTGCACGCGGTTCCGTACGATTAAAAGAGGCATCCAGAGAGAGGGGAGAGAAGGAAGCTATCGAAGATGAGGCGGCCGACTCGTTGTTGTTCTGCGGCCTAAGAAGGGGAGGGAGAAGAAATACACAAGGACTTGTTTTCTCCGTTTTTTCCCGTTGGAAAACCCAATCGCCTTGCGAGGTGGGGAGGAATCCAAGATTGAGCGCATCCGCTGCTCTCCTCGCTGTCCTGAAATTATTCTTGCGGCCATCGTACATCAACGCCGTTGTGGGAGACGGAATTGATGTCTTTTTACGTCCGGAATGTATTTTTTAGGCGAGTGGTTTGCCTGGGTTTAACTTGCTGATGCGACGCCGATGTTTGCTGCGCGAGCGCTCACGGAGTAGGAGGAAGAACTGGCTCCTTGCCCGTTGCGTCTCTGTTTCACGGTCGGGCGTCGGTAACTGCAGACAGCGGGCCTTGCTGTCGGTAGCAATCCGCTCTGCCTTCGCAAGGGTGTCGCCCCGGAGCTTGGGATCATCCTTGTGCATGCCGCGGGGTCAGTGCCGTCGAAGTGAAACTGCAGGTGCTCTCGTAAAAGCTTTAATGCCGGTTGATTGCTTTTTATGGTCGCACGCTGGAAGTTGTGCGTCGAGGTCGTTGGCGAAGGACTCCCACTTGGACTTCCACCAGCTGTAGAAAACTCGACGTACCGAAGTGGGTGCCGAGGGCATGGTATCCTTAAGTGCCTGATGCAGCGTGAATGTCAACACATAGTGGTCACTGAGCGGCGGCACGTTGGCTGTCCAGTCGGACACGGTAAGATGCCTTGACCATGTCCGGTCGATACAGGATCTCTCTCTTGCACCACGAGCATGCTTTGTTTCACCAGGGGTGTTAACCAAGGTGTGTCCTGCATCCGTGCGCGGTTGTATAAAATTCTACAGCGGAGTTGCTTGGAGGGGTCTCCAGGAAGGGCTCCCACCGTGGGCGACGCAGGTTGAAATCTCCACACTGAATGAGCGGCGACGAGACCGAGAGGCAGCTCAGCAACCGCCTAGGGGTTGTGTCGGTTGCGGCGGTGGTCTCATATAGGTGCTCGCTACAATAAGATCACGGTTCTGGCCCAGCGCGAATTTGACCATCACCACGTCGAGGCTGGAATCACGTTGAGGAGTGATGAGGGGCATACGCTTGGAGCGGAGGTTTTTCCGCACCAGCACCGCTGCAACACATTCCTTGCGGATACGTGATTGTGCGTGGAGCACACACTCTCCAGTATGCATGCTGGCGATCTGCTCCGACGACTTCCAGGTCTCCCGGATGGCTATCATGTCTGCTCCCTGCGCCATT